AAAAAAGAAAGAAAGAAAGAAAAAAAGAAAGAAAGAAAGAAAGAAAGAACAAGAAGCAAGCACTACAAGCTGAGAGGGGCAAAGCAAGCAGCATCTGAGGCAGGGCCCTGCAGACTTTCAGACAGGGAGTTTCATTTACTACCAAGTGGAGTGGAAAGCTGTAGGTTTATAAGCAGAGGAGTGTTCTGATTTATGCTTTGAAAACAGTTATTTGTCTGCTGCGTGGCAAATGGAATATGGGAGGGGAGCAAAACTGATGAGCCATCCTGTACCACTACCCAGACATGAATACAGAGACTGCACAGAGGCCAGGGGAGAGTGTCAGTGACCGAGGAGAAAGAACATTGTTGCAATTGCTTCTCCTTTCTACGGTCCAACTCTCTCCTCACACAAAGTCAGGTGCTTTGTGCCTGCTTGATTCCTCCCGGTCTAAGGCCTTCTTATGGGCTTGTGCCCCAGGGGAGGCTACCTGAATTCCTCAAGCACAAAGACTTTTGATCAGCTTGTCCATAGAGCCCGCCAGACACTCCAAAGCCATTGAAGCACGATCTGAGTTGTATATTTGGCACTCCACCTGCATATCAGGGGGGATTTAAGTCAAAGAGAGACAAGCACAAGGGTGAAAATTGTCCCAGCCTAGTTAAAAGAAACAATCTGGTCTGGGGAAGGAGTTCAGGTGGGGGCAGAGATCAAACAGACATTCATGGGATCTGTAGCCTTCTCAGTCTCTCTGACCATTTTTGGCAAAGAGAGACGTGGGAAAATCATCTAAAGACCATTCATGGTCAAGAATCACAGAAAATGTGATCATCTTTAGTGATTAAACTCAAAATGGGAGTTTTCTAGTATGAATTTGAAAAACAAAATGAGGAGGGCCTAGGTTTGGCGACATAGTCTCTATTTCTATAATCATGGACAACTGTTCAAGTTCCCTAGAAAGTATGCAAATCCTAAGGCTGTTTTTTAAACCTCCATGTACTTTAGAAGGACGAAGTGCTTTCACATCTCTGTACCACCCCCAACAACACAATACATGAAGCATTTCACACTATCAGGAGCTCCAATTTGATCACTTTCTTTCCCTCTTTTTTAAAGAAATGTGCAGCAAATTGCTTTTTCTAATTAAGGTAGATGAAGACATAAGCATGCACACTGCTTACCACTCTGGGATAAAATTGACTTTCAAATGATATTTAATGGACCAGCCTGACAGTAATGTTCTGCATTTCCACACAGGAGGCTTGGATTTGATTTTCTTACAGGAAGGAGGGGTGTGTGGGTGTGTGTGTGTGTGTGTGTGTGTGTGTGTGTGTGTGTGTGTGTATGTGTATGTCTGCGCATATATGTGCATATGAAGTACATATGTACTCACATGACAATGGTGATAGAAAGAGGAAGACAAAGAATAAGGATACTTTATCCAGAAATCTTCTCTGTTTTTGGAAAAACAAGACATTTAAATTTTGTCTTTGCAAAAGACAGTGGAGAGGAGAAACAGGATGAGAAAGTGAAAAGGTGAGGATAGACGTGTACAGTGGATCATGTAGTCAGCAAACATTACCACAAACACTTCAAACTTGCATGCAAGGACTTGCTGAGCTTTTACTAAAATTTAAAAAGCTAGAACCAGGAGAGATGGCTCACTGATTAAGAGCACTGGCTGCTCTTCCAGAGAACCCGGCTTCCATTTCCAGCAGCAACATTAGTCAACACAGTACTACCTCTATAACTTCAGCTCCTTCTGCAGGCACCTGCACTCATGTGGCATACATGCACACACACACATGCACATATACACATAAACAAAAATAAATCTTTTAAATGGAAGATTAAAATAATAACAGCAGTAGGTGGCTGTAAAGATGGCTTAGCAGTTAAGAGCACTTACAGCTCTTATAGAGGAGCTGAGTTCAGTTTCCAACACCTACATGGTAGATCACACCTGTTTGTAGCTGCAGTTCCAGAGAAGCTAAGAGCCAACATTTTGACTATTGTACAATTGCTTTGCTTGCTGTGAACAAGATAGCAATGTGTTCACACAGATTTCAGGGAAAGTGTATCTCTACTCTTCCAAGCACACCTTCCCTGTCTAAGAACTTTCCCATTATTACCTTTAACTTACCATTTTGGAAACTATTGTGTCCTTGTGAAAACTTGGAAGTCTCTCAGATCCAAGGTGTAGGCTAAATCAGTGGAAAACTTCCATAAGTTAAAAAAATTAATACCATGATTCTTCCTCAACAAGACAATATTAGCTGCCAACCAGCTTTAAGTAGTAAATTACAATAGGCCAGGCTGGGGATGGGGGTGGGGCAATGGTGTGAATACATAGCTCCTAGGGACAGTCCTCACTGCACTTGAGCTCAGCTGACCTGAAGCCCATCCTCCAGCATTGAATGGAGTATTTGGGAAAGAGACGGGTCTTTTGGAATAAAAATGTGCTAAGATTGGATACCAATACTGTTTTCAAACTTTCTTGCATTCTGTTATAATTATTACCAATGGAGTCAGCCAAACTTCTATATTTAAATCATTTTTGTATCAATTAAACTATTCTTTTAATATATCTTGTCTCTCCTTCAGTTTCCCTTTATTTAATTTCCTTAGTTAATTTTTTTTGTTTCTTTTGACCACCATATGAAAGGCTGAAGACAATGAAACTATTAAGGCAGAATGCAACCATGCTTGTCAATGGGCGTCTTTGTGGGCCTGGGAATGAAGACAGCAGCAGTACCACAGTACAGAATCATAAATTTTCCATTGAAAAAGGGATACTTATGTGAACAGAAACAATCATCTCTGAAGGCTCACTCCCAGGGGCAGCACCAGAAGAAACCTCATGAGATTTCCATGCATAACCAGAGCAAGGAAACGTGATTTGTGGATTCTCGTGTTATAAATGCTACTTCTGTTGATTTTCTGTAAATGTCATGTGAAATAAATTGCACTATAGCTTGAAGATTGTTTTGCAAGTAAAAAATGTTTAGGGTGGCATTTTCCTTTAGAGGAATGAATTGGATACTGAACTAAAAGGATTGGACAGCTTTATTTGCCATGCACTTGTTCAGATCACTATGCATACATACTTTCTGTGTTTTCTTCTTCATGCTAGAACATGATAAAGTCAATGACTTTTGAGCACAGGAGTTGCGACATATGTTATCATGTAGCCATTATTTTGTTTCTGCATTTAAAAGGGAATATTTTCCCCTTTGGTTACACTTACAGTCCAAATAATGTTTCTTAATACTTCAGTAGCTGGTGATTGTTTTCTACAAACTCTAAAGCAGTGCATATCTATTTAATCTTCACGTGATGAATCACTGTGGAGCCATAAATAATAAGTTTTTAGAGCATGACTTTTTATGACTCAGAGGCTCTGCAGTGGTTAATGTCAGCAACAGTTTCTTAGTTTTAATTTCCCAGAAAATTGACCCCAAGACAGCACTTAGGTTCAGACAGTTTCTATAGGGTGTAATCCCAGGAAGACTACAGAAACTGAGGACGATAAAAAAAAATAAAAAATAAAAAAGACCAGAAAAGGAGCTGGTTTCCCTTATGGGCAAACAGAACTCAATTCCATGGGGAATTCTTTGAGGAAACTTCCCCAGAACTGGCTTGCCTAAGGACATGAAGTCTGCAATACTGATCTATCAAATCCCATTTTTGTTGATCAAGGTTTGCTTCCATCTGCCAGTACTTTTTTTTATTTTAGAGGCACTCATATTTACATATCCATGCCCCCATTCCCTTACCCTCCTACCCTCCCATGTTCCCCACCAGTCCCCCCAACCCACCCTCCACGTCCTCCCCTTCCCAGTACTTTTGTGAATTCTCCTGCCCGGACATATACAAGCTTCACAGTTACCAGAGATGAAGGTGCCTTAAGAAGAGCCCAGGTGGTTATCTGTTGATAGGCACAGGAACTCAGAAGCACTGTAGACAAATTTAGAGCTAGCTCAGAGTATGCAGCAAGACTTCTACAGTGTGTGCTGTATCAGCAGCCATCTATAACAAATATTAATTAATTTAATAAAGAGAATGTTTCACTGCCGTGTCTTTTTGTGTGTATGTTTTGAGACAGGTTCTCATGTAACCCAAGCTTGCTTAGAACTCTCTATGTACTTGAGGGTGACTGGAAACCCCCTGCCTCCACCTCCAGAATACTGAAATTACAATCCTGGATCACCGTGTCTGTTTTATGGGGTACTGACAATTGATCCTGGGTCCTCACACATGTTAAACAAACTCTACTAATGGAGCTACATCCTCAGCACCAACCTCAGGCCTTGAAGTACCTTTGGCTTTGTTACTTACATATCCCATTAACATTCCTAAAGACAGTTGAGCATTGCTGACAACATAAAGCAACATGGATAACAAGTAACCAAGTTACCATTAGATGGCTCAAAACAGTCCTAGCCTTTGTTGTAGAGGACAAATAATGTCATCACTTCCTAGTAAGGAGACTAGAGTAGTAAGAAGACTCCCCAAATATAGTCTCATATTTCTAGTAGAGTTATAAACTTTCAAATTCCATTTTCTCTCTTCATTGGTTTCCCTTGGAAGGAAAATACAAGAATCTTTTTCTAAAAGCGGACTCTGCAGTAGTGCATATCCCTGCTTCTCCAGAGACAGTGAAAGGTAACTCTGAACAGTGCAGTCATTGTTATAAAACATGGCATCAGGGACACGGAGTGCTTTCTATCAATATTCTCCCATCTCCCATTTCAGTGGTGCTGACAGCAAAGCTAATCCAAGTTTTGCTGGACTTTGTGTTTGTCTTTTATCATCATTCATGCCACTCTCTAAAGTGACAGCCCCAATGACACCGTGGTATTTATCATTCCCACTTCTGGGTACACTGTGGAAGCTGAAATTGGGTAGAACTTTCTGGGAAGCAGTAAATCGCACTCTTCAATCAATAGGTACAGAAACCTGGATCTCTTATCAGTGCTTGTTCCGTGCTTACTTATGTGTATTCAAAAGCCTGGAGCAAAGTCAGTTAGCAAGGAATTTTTATTGATGAGATCTGATCACCACAATGGACTAAACAAAAGTATCAGAGTGCTGTTTTCCTGAGGCCCATCGCAGCTGTCCGATGGACAAGACAGAAGGTACCAAGGTACCTTATTATATGATTTGTCTCAATCTTAATCACTTTGCTTTGTCCTTTTCTGATGCAGGGTTAACATATAACTCAATAATATATTTTAAGAAATAAGTAATAAAACCCTCAGCTTAGACTAACTGCCATATAACACCTCTCCCTCAGCCATGATGCACTCTCCAAATTTTAAACTTCATGAGGGAAATAGGAAAAAGTCTAGAAGTATATGTGTACATATATATGAGTGTATGTGCCTGTGTGCATTTGGAGAGCGGAAGAGGGCATTGGATCCTCTGAACTGGAGTTATAGGCTTTTGTGAGCTGCCTCACTTGTTATGTGGATGCTGGGATCTGAACCCAGGTCCTTATGATTGCTCCGAGCTGCCTCACTTGTTATGTGGATGCTGGGATCTGAACCCAGGTCCTTTTTATTACTTAGTAAATGCTCTTAACCACTGAGGCATCTCTTCAGCTCATATCCCTCATGTACCCTTAGGTTTCTCTTGACTGAGTCAATTTCTCATATTTGCAGTGACTCTCATGACCTCAACAGTTTTGAAGAACACTGGTTATTTATCATGCATGTAGAATGGCCCTCTATACAACATTTGCCTGATATTTTCTCATCAATAGACTGTAGGTAGTTCTTCATTTGAGGAGGATAACCACACACATGAATTGCTTTGTTACCACATCATATCATATCATCAAGGAACCTTATTGACATGATGGATCACTGTGGCTATTGACCTTGACCACCTGGCTAAGATCCTGTTAAGTATCTACCCTATTCTCCACATTGCACTCTTTGGAAGGAGGTCAAATGCAGCCTACATCTAAAGAAGGAGTCCTGTGCTGTTCCTTTAAGGGAATATAAGTACTTGTGCAAGTTATTTGGAATTTATACAGTCTCTTCTCTCCCATTTATTTATTTACTTAATTTTTAATATTAGCATAGGCTCATTGATACTTATTGTATACTTTTGATTTCAATCAATATTATTTATCTTGTTGTTCAAATTTCTCCAGCTTTGTCCACTGAGATTTCTTTCAGTTGGGTCTGTGTTCCTTTGATGTACTTCCATCAATGGATTTTTATAGCATTTCATTGCATTCTATTTTTTCCCACTACAAGATGTTGTTCTCAGCTCAACTTGCACATTTCCTACCCCACTCCAAGAAAATTATTTTTCTCTTTTCATTTTATTTTTGTTTTGTGGAGAATCCTAATTAGATATGAAGATCTTGGCATTAGGTACACTTTCCCCGCTTCAGTGGCATTGCTTCACACCCCTCTCAGCTGACAGGGCAAACAAATCTGATGCACATGACACAGTGTATAACAGGGCCTTCGATAGCTCAGTTGGTAGAGTGGAGGACTGCAGTGGACGAAGCAGTGTATATTTATATCTGTAACTATTTCTATTTGTAATCATCTGGATGTATACTAAAATAAACTTGGATTCATATTGGCATCTCCAACTGTAACCCCTTAGGAAATGGATCATTCTAGGTTTCCCTCTTTTTTCCCTTTAACAGATTTCCACTTTAACAGTGGCTTCCACCACCTACCATCCATTTACTAAGTTGTTCTGTCCAACATCAGTACACACAAGTACCTGCGTTAGAATTAGATCGCTGAGGATACAGGTTTTATTTGTAATTCTTTATCCCTTTGTCCTATGGATTCCAATCGTTTTTAAGTGACTTGTTAGCAACCCCTTCAATAATGTCATTTTTATACATTTGTAATAGAGTTAGTGTGCTGCAATGTTGATTCTCTCCCTAGTAACTTACCTATGGGCATTTTTCTTCAGCAGTGACTCAACTGACTCATATTATTCTCAATGTTTTATATATTTGATCAAAATTAAAATGTACAAATAATTCTAAAATTGCTAACACAATTAAACAAAGCAAACTTACTATATAGGCTTCAATGCTTTGATGATGGGTTTTTTCTTACTTCTGAGGTAAATTTGTTTACAATATACTGGACTGAGTGTGCTTGCATGCCTGATTGGATGAGTTTTAGACAAATGCAATGGAAAATCACATTAAGATACAGAATATGGGTCACTGTCTCTTTTCCCTTTTCTACTTGTGGAAGACAATTCTCATCATGACGACATCGTCATCCCACCTCTCTCTCATATTCTTAGTAGACTTCAAAGTTCTTTCCATAAAGAGTTCATGGCCCTAATTACTTCACTTCAAGTAGTTTTCTCTGGTCAATAAAAGATACAGAATATAAATGTCAAAAAAATATACAGAAATTTTCCATCATTCCAGAAAATTCTTCATGCATCACAGTTAAGTTCTTCCACTAGACATAGCCCCATCATGATTTTCTTTTTTCTTTTTAACACAGATTAGTTTCCCAGTTCTAGAATTTCATAGAAATGATGTAACACAGCATGAGATATTTGGGACATGGCCTCTCTCACTTAGCCTCCTGTTTTTTTTTTTTTTTTCTGTAGTCTTTTGATCAGTAGTTTGTATAAAAGAACTCCAGGCAGTGGTATGCTGGCAATGTTTAACCACCAGCTCTTTGCAGGGAAAAAAAAAACCCTGATTTGTAGCTTTTGCTAATTTTTGCAGTGTAAATATTCCCAACATTGTCAACTCTAGCTACTCTCAAGTTTGTAACAAATGGCTCTTGAGAGCAAGTATAAGCCAGCTCCAGTACACTGCCCAAAGCACAAGCTAGCACTATTTTGTTATTTTCTGTAGTATTATAGCAAAACCAGTGACACAGGAAGTGGATAAGAGAGGCAAAACAGGGTAGGGGACAAACATGACCAAAATCCATTTCATAGGTGTATAAAAATGTTATAATGAAGCATATC